GACTCACAGGGTTTTTCTATAGCAAAGATACTAATTTAGAATGTTTATTTCAGTAGGAACTTAAAGAACTGAATGTATACATTTCACAAAGTCAGTTTTCCTAATTATTATCTGAGATGCTTATTTTGACTCAAGTTTCTATTCCTCCTTAGAGGATACTGAAGAAAACTAATCCACTTTGAATATTTTCACTCCCAGATTATTTCTAGTGCCTTAGCATTGGAAAATTATCCTTCAATGAAGCAGGGGGTTTTTTTGGTTGTTTTTTTTTTCCCCTTCTCATTTCAGTGAGCACTGCATTGGAATTGGAAGCAAATTGGCTAGATCAGTTTGTCTGGAACTGGTGAAACTGCTCTTGTTCTGCAGCTTAGCCCTAAATGTGATGACATTTCACATTTTCCCAGTAAAAGTAGGAAAAGTATCTTCAAATGGCATAAATATTTTTCTCTTCCTGTCAAATCAGAGAAGATTAATTTTTAAAGTAAAATCTGTAAGGGACATTTGTAGAGGAAGCTTGGCTTTGTTCAGATTCTGCTCCCAGGCAAGAGTTCCTCTAGGCAGCCTTGGTTTTGGTTTTCAAGTTTTCCAAAACATTGTAAGACACAAACTCCTATGTCAAAAAGCATTAGAATAAATTACTTTGAAAGTCTGGCAGAAATTTATTTTCCACAGATACTGTATTATAGATAATGAAAATTAATAGATCAGTTTAAATTATTTTCATACCACTTTGTGTAATGCAAAGCTCATCCTACAGCTTTTGTTTCTTTGTTCCTTACTGTGTTCTGATTTTAAAGGAATAAGAATTAAAAAGCTGTGCATATACTTTTTACACCCACACATCAAATTTATTTATTTCTGTATTTAGAAATATATTTTAAATATAGAAATGTCAATATTGTACTAGGTTAGATCTTTTGAATATGTTCATGAAATGTGACTTCCAGGTGATGCAGAATCCTGTTGCTGAGCCAAAGGCACCATTTCAGCCCAGTGAGGACTCTTCCCAGGAAATGCCCATGCCCGTAATCTCAAAGATTAGTTCCAGATTCCTCCACAATGTTTTCAATAGCATCAGCTACATAAGGCTGTAAGTTTTGGCTGGTGCCTCACAACTGGTCAGCAGCTCCTGTGCCATCAGTGTCAATAACATATTTGGTCAAAGGAGCAGGGCTGTAGCAGTTCAGCCTTCAGTAGACAAATTTTATTTTTCCATCAGCTCTTTCCTGTTGCCTTCAGCATCTCATGCTGGGGAAGAAGGGAAGCAGAATGAGAAAGTCTCAATGTCTGTGGATGAATGGGGTTGGCCCCTACTCCTCATCTATGTAGCACAAGAGAAAATATGACCCCAGAGGCATCATGCATCCTGGAGTTGTCCCCCAACAGTTATGAATTGCTCATATCTCATATCGGAGACTCCAAAAGCCTGCACTGCTACACCACCTATGATTCAGTATATCACAAGTGATGGCTCTGCCACCTGAAAAAATATGGAGAAAAAAAAAGAGGAAAGAGGAACAAAAAGAGATCTCTCATTTCATATTGCACTTTTTTTTTTTTTTTCACTTTCCTTCTATTGCAATAAGGTTTTTCTTAAAGATCCATTTTATCAATTAGACAGCACCTATCTGGTGAGAGATGGCTGAACCTTTTTCCTTGAGTACTGAATCACTCAGGTCCAGCCTGTAACAACAGGATGCTAGTGACCTGACCTGATGGTCAATCCTTTAAAAACATGCTTAAAGCTTTTTAAGCTTTTTTGATAAATTAGAAGTCATCATAATTGTTGTATAGCTAAATGCAAGTAGTTTAAATGCCCTAGGGCTTCATTTTATTTTACCAGCTAGAATTGTAACCAGTAGGTTTTCCAATACATCTGGAAGCTCTTCAGAATTAATCCCAGGTCTCTTTCCTCCTATCCCACAGTGTCTCCTGCCTCACGAAGGCTGTTTTTCCAGGACTTATTTTCTGGGCTATTCATTTTCCCTCAGCAGCCTGTGAACCAGCGTGGCCATTCCTAATTGACATGCTTGATGGGCCTCGTCCATTTGCATGCATCATTTATATCTAAAATTTGGTCAGATAATTTTAAGATTCACAACTAATCGCTGTGTAGCTATAATTCTGTAAGGATTTTGTGCACAGATTACTCCCATGACCAGATTTACGTTTACATGCAAGGCAACAGCAGAGCAATCTTCCCATGGCTACAGTCAGCATACCTCAAATCCAATCAGCAGAATAGCTAACTATTTAGTCAATGTTAATAGCCAAGCACTGCAAAGCATACAGGTGATTTTGTGATGTGGATCCTGGAGGAACATGAGCTTCACTTCAAAAAGGAATGTACAAACATCCATCAGCTGAGACTAGTTTTGCATTCCTAGTTCAGTGTTCTACAGCTATACAGGTGAGCTATGAGAAATAGGTTCTGACATTGATTAGCAACATATCTGGGTGCTGAGGATTAACATTAATCCTGGCATTACACCTTCATTTAAAATAAAGTTTCTGAAACGAGGAGCTGGTAGAAGTGAGTTTTGAATGTTTATGTACCAATAAAGGCTCCTAATTTCCCATACAAACACAGTTTATAGCTGAGTATCCTCACCCTGCTGGAGCTCATAGGACTAGGATTGCATTGGGGTTTTCTCTACTACATTGTCCATTAATCAAATAGTGTTCCACTTTAAAAAGGAATAAAAGCAAATCTTATAATATAAATTTCACAAATGATACCTAAATTTGAGTCAAAAGCTTGTTTTGCAAAGCAAAATAGATTGGACTGTTGTCTTGAGTTCTCACTGGTTCCCCCTTCTGGGGCTGTTAATCACACCCAGATCCATTGTCTCAAAGAGATGAAGGTGACTGTTGCCAATTCAGGTGTAAGTGCCAGAAGAGTCCACAGAACTGAGGAAGGTAGAGAGATAAAATGCACAACTGGATTTTTACCATTAATTTATGTAACTGTTTGGGAATCAGAATTGTCAAGGTCTCTAGATTCCCTCCTCAGTCCTGGAAGAGGAACAAAGTCTGGTAGTTACAGGCAGCTGTGTGAAGAGGGACAGGGATGCAGACACACAGACACACACACACATGCATAAACACAGGCTCAGCCAGGCTGTGGTACCTGTAACAACCACCTCTCATCAGAAGCTAGTCCAGGAGTAAAAGTGGAGTGAGATATGCTGCAGGCACAGTATGTCTCTGTGCCACATCTCATAGGGGAGGGGGAAAAAGTGTATTCTGGGCAGCTACAGGGTGTGTATTTTGGCCTCTCAAGGGAAGGGCGATGAAATGGATGCAATTTAATTTGCTTTTAAACTATCAGTTGGTACAATGTCTACGTAAGGCACCTGACCTAGGCCATCTCAGCATGTCCTTCAGCTCCCCAAAGTGGTGAGGCTGTAAGAAAGTCAGGAGAAAGATTAGGATATTCCCAAACTGGGCACAGCACACGTGAACCTGAGGTGTGCTTCTTGCTGTGTATGGATGCTGGGAGCAGGGAGCGGTGTTCGTTCTCCCCCAGGCCTGTCTCTGCAAATGCTAATGTTCTGCAAATGCTTCTGTCAGATCCCAGCCACATTTCTGACACAGTCCTTGACATACGCCCAGGGACTGCAACAGGCCCTTTGCTGCAGGATAGATAGCAAAATTTGGTGTGCTAAGCCAGGTCAGCAGAAGGTTGCTTTTCACCATCTTTCTCCTGACAGAACAGTGGAAGAGCTGGGCCCTCGTGTGAACAGCTCTGCTGCTACAAATGAAGAAAAGAGCAAAGAAAAGTTAGTACCACATTTAGCTTTATTGAAATTGAACAAATACCTTTTTTTTTTTTTTTTTTAATAAACCCTTTTACAGCAAGTGTAAAATTTTAATGTTTGATTCATCTTATGTTACAGGTTGTCTTCTTCTGTGTAAGCAAAAATACCATCTTTTTTTTTTTTTTTTAAATTTTCTACTTTAAAACATGTAGCAAGGATTTGAGTAATGCAGATCTGTCACCAAAAGGTAACAGGTTCTGAAAATCACAGTACAGTTTTAAAATTCTTAGGTTAATTAATGATATTTAAAATGATAGCCACTTTGAGTAAAGATATAAATTAGAGGTCTGTAAACAAGTTGTGTTTACCTATAGAGCTATTGATTGCAGCTACAATGAGAGCAGTAATAGAAACTGAATGCTAAACTGAGCTACACCGTTGAGGAAACAAGTTCTTACTAAGTAGTGTGGTACAGGGTAGCACAATAGGTAAAATACAGTTTGGCACCTCAAGTTGCATGTAAAATCAGCAGAAATAAAAAGAAATAAGTGCACTGTCTTCCAACAAAAATAAACCGGGCAGTTTCACTGGTTTTGGAGTGTCAACTATCAAATAAATCACACAACACACAAGTTCAACCCCAAAATTACAATTCTAGTAAAGCAAGATAATATTAAAATGCACATCCACAAGGATAGTAAAGTATAAATATTTTTTTTTCTTCTTTTTTTTTTTTTTTTTTCCCTCTCCCCTATCAGTAGAAATAATTTACAACCCACAAAAGGACTCCTTGGTGAAACCACTAACTACAGACATGGTCATGGAATGTAGCTCAGTAGACTTGTTTCAAATAGAAAGGCAACATTATCCTGAAAAAGTTTGGTCCTCTTATAACTCCCTGTACTGTAGCCACCACAGTCTCTTGGTAGATGTTTTAGAAGAATTGTTTATTTTCTGATTCTCCTTTGTTTTGAAAGATAATATCGTTGATAAAGCTGGGTAAAATTTGGCCCCATTTACAGATGTCTGATCAATGCTGAATCTGGAAGAACAACACTGAGAGTACATAGGGGGAACCCTCATTGACTGGTCTCATGGCATATTTTTTCATGCAATCATTTTTCCTTCTATACTTCTTTTCCTCTTTGTTAATTTTTTCTTCAATGTCCTGGGG